TATCTATCTATCTATCTATCTATCTATCTATCTATCTATCTATCTATAGATAGATAGATATATAGATATATAAATACACAAATGTAGTATATATAGATATAGTACAAAATAGCCCAAAATCTCAAACGAGTTAAAAAGGAGGTGCCGTGGATGCATTCCCATCTCCTTGCTGGCTGTTCTCGAGTGCCTGACCACTGAAATCCTGGAACTAGCAAGAAACACAGCTCGTGACAGCAGAAGGACCGGACCAGGATCGTCCCATCCCTAAATGAAACGAGGATAACGATTTACAACAACACTTAATTTCCCTTTGGGATTAATTGAGTATTTTGGAATTGAACTGAATTGAATACAAATGCATGTGTGTGTGTGTGTGTGTGGGGGGGGGGTGTCTGGAAACACCGCACGACTTAAAAAGACATAATTTAAACTTTCTTTCATTGATAAAATGTAGGTTTTCTCATTTACAAGTTGTTTTCTTTTCAATTAAGAACATTGCGGGCCACATGGAGATGGTCCAGGGGCCACATTTGGCCCCTGGGCTATACGTTACCCACGTCTGGCTTAATTAATATTTAGACTTAAATCACTTTTTCTTCTAAAACTACACAAAAGTACAAAGCAGTTCCTATAATCTCCAACAAGATTAATTAAAAGTACATTATTTTAGCACTTGTTTTGTTTTTTTAATGATGGGGTAAGAAGTGGGTTTTCGGGGGAAATGTTAAGATTATTTAATATCTACCTATTGTTAGCTCTTTGTATAATCGCAGTTTGATGAGCTTCTGGCTATTGGATGACAGCACATTTTACTTTTAACTGAGAATGTATATTAAATGTGAAAATACAAAATGCCAACTTTGAGGTCCACACATGAAGTCAACGATGAGGATCTGACTGGATTCTCTTCCTCCCTGCCGGTGCAGTTCATCCTCGGCTCAGTAGAGCTCATGAACCAAAAGCAAGAGATATTTTCATGACGAGAAACAAACAGAATTGGCACAGTGGAACAAAAGTCACCTGCTGCTGCACATTAAAGCAGAAGCGGCCGCTTGAATGGATACTTCAAAGTAGTTTTCACTTCTGTGTTCGAGCACACGTCTCTTATTTTCTCAGCTACAGTACACCTAAAGCTACCATATGTGACTTTTATCTGCGTCTTAAAGCTCAGGTGACAGGTGAGTGAAACACCTGCAGCCTGTCCGGTGTCTTTTGGATGAAATGTTCTGTGTTCAGAGCACTGAAGGGTAATTTAGGGACAAAATATGTTTTTCTTTCCTTCTGCCAACAGACTGCTCTCAGGCTTGAGGCCTTTTTTGCCATTTAAAATAAAACTTTTCATGTTTTTAACTAAATTCATGATCCACAGCACAAGCGCTTAATAAGGTCACTGAAAAGAGGATAAATCTGAGCAGTTTCTCCTGAGTGAAGCGCTTTATTTTTTTATTTTTCAGTGACCCCAGTAAAGATCAGGCAGCTAAACATTAGCTCTCTCGTCTCCCTAAGGGAGTTATGGAAAAAGCCGACGCAGCAGTTGTTTTAGTGGCTCTTTTCCTCGTCCTTGAACCTATGAGAGAGAGAGAGAAAAAGAGAGAGGCTGCGGATGGGACGAGAGTCTCACCGTAAGGCATCCCATCAGGCTTTGCTCGAAGGGGCGCTGGAAGGCTCGGGGGTCGCCACACCAGTCCAGCAGCTCGGTCGCTGCTGTTTGGAAATTTGCTGGATTTTGTAAGTGCTGGAAGCAAAATAAGGAGAAAGATTGTGAAATATGTGGAGGTCAGTAAGCAAAATGCAAGAACCTATCCTTTATTCAATGATTGGAATATTTGAAACTGGATCATAGACAAATTATTTGAATAATTTAATGGGAAAAAAGTGCCAAATCTACACTGTAAAAGTAGTTTCTTGCAATCTGTTCAATGAAAATGTTCCCACTTTAAGTGGTATCTGTACCAAACATTTACCAATTGTAACTGTACCAAATTACAAACATTTTTAATATTGACATTGGGAATTAACCTGATGGAAAACAGGTTGCTCACAAGTTCACAAACAAATTATTAGGATTATCTTACAGTAACTGGTGCTAATTGACTGAGCCTTGATGATGGGAGGAAACGAAAAACTTAAGTACACTTAATAAAATGTGTACACTTATTTAATTTATAATTATTTACGCTGTTAAGAGCAACTGTTATCTTTTTTTTTCCAACATGAGAAACAAATGATTTACTAAAGATCTCGGATAGGGATGCACGATATTATCAGCATGGTATCGGTATCGGACAATATTAGCGATAAAGTTAAATATCATCATCGGCAATTCCATCAAAATAACTCACCGATATAAAAGGCACTGTATATAAATAAACTGTATAAATAAAATATGCTGTTTTTGTATGACTGTTAGAGTGTTGTCGTGTTAGAGAGAGTAAATGTCATAAATAAATTTGACATTAAATATAATCCAAGTTGAAGTGTTACATCATTTTCAGCCCCTTTTTGGCATCTGCATTTGGTATCAGGCCAAAATGACAGAGCCCCTGCAGAATAATGTATTTTAATTCCACAGCAGAGAAAGCTATGTAGTCTCTGTAAGTAGGTCTAGGGGGAAAAATATCGGTATTGGTATCGGTTATCGGCCAAATAAGTTTTTAACATATCGGCATATCGGCCAAAAATCCAATATCGTGCATCCCTAATCTCGGGATGTCACATAAGATTGCACCTAATGTTTTTTATTTTATTATTATTATTTGACCAAAACAGCTACAACTCCTTTACTTCTCAAAAAAAAAGATCTTAGTCTAAAACTCGAATCTAAATGACACTACATGCAATAGATTGGGAAGTCTTTAAGAAAACATTGCATTTTACATTATTAAATCGATACCTTCTCTCTTCTTTTAAGAATTTATTTACTTCACCTCAAAGGTTTTGTGTTGAATTTGATCTATAGGTAGTTTGGAAAGTAAGAAAAAAATTGATTATCTATTCCAGATTTTCCAAAAACTTTGAATATTGCATAATAGAGTTTAAAGTATTGTCCAAGCTGACGTTTACTGTCCTCGGGTTTGTGCAGCACGTTCTTGCACGAAGAGCAGAACATCTCCCTGCATGACTTCATGAACAGAAAAGAAAGTCACAGTTCAGCAGCTGTCCCCGCTCTGAGCTGCGACTTTCTCTGACAGCACACTCCTTGATCCAAAGACGTTCCTCTCCAGCATTAATTTCCCCTCCCGGAGCCGGCAGCCCCACTCTCTGACCCCGCTGCCTGTTTTGCTGCAGAGCCGCAATAAAGACAGAAAAATTGGTGTTTGCGTCACAATTGGTCATCTCATCTTTTAAACCTTTCAAACGTCAATACGAATCAATTCATACACAGCCGAGCACACACACCCACACACACACGCGATGCACCTCCACTCTGCAGTAATCTGGTGCCTTTGGGGAGATTATGCACACAAGGCTTTGTAGTGCACTTGTTCCAAACAGGAACAAATGGACTCCCACTCCATGACATCAAAGGTAAATAGAGTGGTTTGTCAGCTTAAAGTGAATGGCTGCCTTCCTAATACGTCTGTGCGCTTTGATTTCACTGTCAGACAGAGAGGAAGAGGCGGCAGTGCTTTTTTCTTGCTTGCTCTTTAGGGGGCAGCAGAGGTCAGGTTTTGATAAGGCTGCTTTCATATCAGCTTATAACGCTGGCGTTTGACAGGGAGTGTGTGTGTGTGTGTGTGTGGGGGGGGGGGGGGGGCACAACCATGCTGGATTATTTTATGCTTTGTCTGAGATTGCTGCCTACCGCTTGACACGTTGGAGTAAGACGTGGCGGAGCGTTTAAATTGCTACTGGTGGATAGTCACACACATCCAGAGATGCTAAATTTAGATGAGTCTGAAAGCTAGACAACACACGCAATCAGCACACTGAGGATAGAAAAAGGGGAGGGAGGAGGAATATGTAGAAGTGGGGGATACACACCACCACCTGGGCTTGAAGTGATTACTGTTCTTTGCACTCAGAGCAATTGGTCCCACCAGTGTGGCTGTCACACCGAGCGCTTGGCACTGCCACGCCACAGATGTTCTCCTTCTTACAGCCAAAACCCACCAATCAAACCCTAACTAGTAGCCAATAACCCACCAATTGCGCTCTCCTGCCCTCATCCCCTGGGTGAGAATGACTCAACATTTACGCTGCAGTCACAGCTCAGCCCAGCTCATGTGAAACAAAGATGGACAGGACACCCAGTGTCCAGAGAGCGCAGCTTTGTTCAGATTCAATCGTCCTCTGAAGTCACGCCTGGAAACAGCTCACATCTGCAGCCTAACTCAAAGTGACAAGCGCATGCGATCTGGCACACACTCCCCGCTCCATTCAGAAATCACAGCCTTTCAATTTGCTGCTACATTCACAGATGTGCAAAACAGAAGAAGCGGACGAAGAAAAAAACAAACTAGTAGAAGCAACAAACCCTGGGAGAAATGCAAAAACAGCTGCACTGTCTGCGCAGCGGCCGCACAGAGCGGCTCCGGTTTATCTTGAAATATCGACGCTGAGAGTCTGAGGAAGTGCTCCTGCAGCAAGAGGACTGTTCACGGTTTCCGCCAGGGCCCCTGAATGTATCACAGAGAGGAGAGCCTGACAGCAACACTGGGTTCACACGGTGGGAGGAAAATAGTATCTCGGAAATAGACACCAGCAGTATCAGGCAACCCATCTTCCCCCCTCAAGTATTCGCAATGATGCAACTCTGAGATGCGAAAGGAAAACAAACTGTCACAGAAAGCATGTTAGGCTGGAGTCAGATAGCTGGTTTTAGAATCCTTGACTGTTTGGAGGTTAACCAGGCAAACATATGTTTTTTCATTCTGATGTATTGCTTCCTAAAGGCTAAATGTATGTTCTTTTATTGCAATGTACTTTTTAAAAACGTCTTCAGTTGATCCAAAATGCTGCTGTCAGGGTCTTAACTGGAGTTAGCGGGAGAGATCATATCTCTCCAGTTTTAGCTTCCCTCCACTGGCTCCCTGTCAAATCTATAATTGAATTCAGAATCTTAATTCTAACCTACAAAGCTCTCAACAACCTAGCTCCATCTTATATTAAAGATCTTATTGCTCCATATTTTCTAAAAGGAGCACTTCGCTCTCAGACTGCAGGTTTACGTGCGGTTCCTAGAGTTTCCAAAAGCAGAATGGGCGGAAGATCTTTCAGTTATCAGGCTCCTCTCTTGTGGAACCAACTTCCAGTTTCTGTCTGACACATTAGCTATGTTTACATGTGCAAAATTCTTTTGACTGGATTGAAATGTTTTCAGATTAAATAATTCAAATGTATAGTTTACATGGACTCAATCCGTTCATGACGAGCGTTTACATGCAGCGGGCTTTGCTCTGAACAGAAGTACTGACATGCGCAGAGTGGTAAACTCAGCTTAAAAAAAAAAACACAGAAGAAGAAGTTCTACTTCAGGTTTACTTCCGGGATGAACGTAAACAAACCTGAGTGCTCAAAATGGATCCGCGACAGGTTTTAATGACGGTGGAGACGTTACTGCTCTCCCTGACTGAGCTACAGGTAATACAGATCATTTTGAGCTCTTTCAAAGTTTCTAGTAGAAATGTGTCGCTCACCGACCAGTTTTACTTCCTCGACATGCTAATATTATTAGCATTAGCCAGGCGGAAATGACATAGGTCGCACATGCACCGTCAGGACAGTTTTTCACGATCGGAAAAAAAAATATGAACAGATTAAGTGTTTACATGCACACCATTTGGATTATGAATCGGCATAAACCACCCGTCTCATTCTGATCACAAATTCTTTTGGATCAAGCTGACACAACAAAAAATAATCCGAATGGGGCGTTTACATGACGCATTCTTATTCCGAATGTCCGTTTGATCCGATTACTTATGTCCATGTAAACATAGCTATTGTCCAGTTTTCAGACTGGGCTTAAGACTTTCTTTTTTGATAAATCCTATAGTTAGGGTTGGCTTGTTATGCTGCCATAGGCTTAGATTACTAGAGGACAAATTGACCTAATTTCCTTAAATGAGTTGTTAAAATTGAATAGTTTTCATTTGATACTATTTCTATTTTAACGTGATTCTTGACCTGCCATTGTGTATCTGTTCTTCTCAAACCCAGCCGGTTGAAGCAGATGGCCGCTTAACTTCTGAGTCTGGTTCTGCTAAAGGTTTCTTCCTCACAAGTGAGTTTTTCCTTTCCACTGTCGCCTTCATGCTTGCTCAAGATGAGAGTTCTGTGATGGAGTTAAACTCAAAGCCGTCTGCTCCTCAGATAAATAATGTTCAATTATTATTTTTATATATGAATGTTTCTGTTCAGTGCCCTGAGAAGACTTCTGTTGTGACTTGGCGCTATATAAATAAACTGAACTGAATTTAAATTTTAGGATGATTGTTTTTCTACCAGAACACACATTTTCTAATAAAATACTCCAAACTTTGGTGTGGTTATATCAGTGAGTCAGTAACAACACACTGCGAGCGTGACATCTGCAGTATTACAGGAAATCTCACATATTTTCAAAGCTTGACTAAAACATTAATTCCTTCAAAGAATGCTTTGTGTTTAGTTCCAGGTGTTTTTGGTCAAGTTATTGGTTCAGAATCCCTTTAGTGAAATTTCATAAGAGAGTAATTTAAGCATTTTCAACCATGATTTTCTGATTTAGCTTTCAGGCCATGATTCAATCATGTTGGCGAATCCCAATTTCCCTCCACTTTATCATGGCGCTCAGCAGTAATTCATCATTTGAGCAACAAAATCAATTTGTTACCCTGTCCGCTGCACTGGCTGCGAGTAGTCAGCCGGACATGTCACATCTCCTGCAAAACAAGCCCACAATGGAAAGCGGATTCATCTGTATTCCTGCGCCACGTTCGCACGTTCCTGGAGGTGCCAAATGTCAGCAAGCACACACTTTCAATTAAAGCAAACAGCTGGATTGGTTTACAATATTTCCTTAATGATTTTAATAGCTGGGATATTGGACAATGAGGAGCAGGGGGAGAAGATAGTGAGTTAATTGTTCTGATCTCCCCTGATGATCGTCATTGTGAGCAGGGAGGAGGATAGCCGGCCGGCTGAATGGGCTCGCTGCTAGTCTAATTGGCAGGACATAAATGGTATTTATTATGCAGGCCTTCCAAATCCTGATTGTCTGCAACACAAAGCTGCCTCTATTAGCAGGGTGTGGGCTCTCGCTGGTCGATTTGAAATGACCCCGCGCTTAACCATTTATTAGATAGACTGGAGGCCTACTTGTGTGCTATGGATCTCTCTAATTGGCATGTTTACCCATGTCCTGCCTCCTCAGGCGCTAACACTGGGATGGATTTGTTTAAATTTTTTGTCTTGCGGGGTTAATACATTTAACCCCGCAGCATTTGAACTGTGTAAACTGTTGTTAGACACATTTAAACCCCTTTTGCACTTCTGTGAACCCTCTTTAAGAGACTTTCCCCACCTTCGTTACAGCTAGAGGAGTGGATATTGAATTATTTAACACCCTGCTGCTGTGAAGAAGGTAACCAGACTTGAAGATAGGCTGTGTTTACCTCTCTTTGCCTTATTACTTAAGAAGATCAAAGCTACAGATACTGTAGTGTTTTCCTGATTGCTCCTCAAACATTCACCCATATTGTCTCCAACTCCATGCTGCGGGGCAAAACGACTTGCCACTTCCACGTTTAGCTCCACACACCGTCTCAAAGGTCTTCTTTATGCGCTTTCTGAGGGAGGAGAAACCTCCGCGCTGAGCCCAGAAACAAAACGCGCCATCACTTTAAGAGAGGAGATCAAAAGGAGAGCCCCGTAGCCTGGGGTTACGCTGGCACGTCTGTTTAATTCTGCCAGTGATTCGTCCCGCCGTAAACGGTGGAATGAAGAGAACAAAAGGACTTGCTGGGAGTCGAGGGGAAGAGAAGGGTCATAATGATGGGGGAGGAAGGGGACGCTTTGCTCTTTAACCTCCACCCCCACCCACCCCGTCGGTAACCCGAGTCCTGATAATGGGGCTGAACAGGTTAGTCACTTTACTTTGGGCAATCAAGAAGCATTCTGAGCCTAAAGGTACATCAGTACTTTGTTGAAAGAGGTGATTTTTTAATTTAACATAATTGGAAACTAAAGAGTTGAATATTTGTCTGAAGCCAGAGGGGAGGGTGTTATCCCAGAGTTATAAAATACATAATCAAAGCTGGATTTATGAGGTTTAAAACCACTTGTGTTTGACAAAAAAAAAACCATCTTGTACTAAAACACTAGAGGTTAACTCATTAATAAACATGAACATAATGTAAATAAAGTGCTATGTGTTATCGTCGTCATATGTTTCACGTTTAAATAAAAGATTATCACATGATGTCTTTCACGCCACGACTAACATCATCTGGTGCTGAGAAATAATGGATTTGTATCAATCTTGTAAGCCTCAAAAATAAGATTATGTGATCTGAGGCGAAAAATATCATGAGATGTCACGCTCAGGGTATGTGTTATAAATGACCCTCAGCTACAACCACAACAATTTTTAACCAATACTTGTAAAATTGACTAGTTATAGCCCTTTTTGTATTTTTAAGTAGTTGCTTGTGGGCCCATCTTAAATGGAGTTGGCTTCCAAAAAGATTTATTTATAAGTAAATTTCATAAAAAAAAAAAAGTGCAATGGTTCTTAAGGTTGTTTGCTAACAGACAGACAGTTTACAACAATAGCTATTGGCAAAATATTAATCAAAGATATTGAACAATCTGTTAGTGCTCAATATATATGTTGTCAATCTGTCTCAGCTACTACTTCACCAAACTCTCGGTCAGTTTCTGCAGAATTCGCTGAATTAGAGCTGATTTTGTGTTTTTTAAAGTCAGTGTATATGTCATAATGTTGTGCTGGTGCTACAGGCATCCTTGTCACTGGATTGTCATACAAAAACAGAACTATATATAATATATATATATATATATATATATATATATATATATATATATATATATATATATATATATATATATAAAAACACTGCTTTTTATATCGATGAGTTATTCTTATGGAATGTCCGATGTCCAATATTTAACTTTAGCGCAAACATCGGCCGATACCAATGTGATGATATTGTGCATCCCTACAAATATCAATTTAAATGTTTAAGTTGTAACATTCCATACATTCTTAATATTTAAACTACTTTGTACATATATTTTAATAAATGGGTATTTAAAAAAAATGTTATCCAATTCACAAAGCATGAGTATAAATTTTCACTAGACGAGTTATATCTACCATCTAAACTACCACGTGTTTGTTTACCTACGAAAACAGCAAAAGTGGCAACATATTGGAATGTGTTTATGCTCAGATTTATTGAGTAAAATACAGGTAAAAGTGCTTTGTTTACATTGAGTGCAGACCTGCATTTCAGAATTACATAATAGTAATAATATATTTTGAAAGCTACTGGAGTAAAACAAATCAAAATACTCCATTTAATCTAGTTCAGGATCACCTTTTCTATGTTTGATTTCATAATTAGAGATGGAGAAGTGGTATTTTCATCTGCGTCTCACCTGTTTGATACACTGCAGGCGGTCATTGGTCTGCTGAATGTGTCTGTCCATCGACGGAATCGAGTTCATGTTGATTGTCCCCGTTTGGCCTCTATCTGCCAGCCATTAAACTGGAGAGTTCTGCAACAGAAACACAGACAAGTGTTAACGGCTCAGCTTTTCCAAAGGGAAGCTGCCAACAGCGTCACCGCCAGGATGCTGCTGCAGTTGTGTGTGTGTGGTGCTGTGAGCCGAGCAGGGAGGTATTGATTTGGCAGGTGACAAGCACCTCAAAGAGCCCAAAGGATGACATTCCTCTCAGCTCCTGACACCCTTAACAAGCCCTGGCGGTTGCCCCCTGAACGCTGCCACACACCTTTGGAAACGACACACTGGACTTAAGACAGGATGTCTTGCCATGTTTAAAACGCCTCTGGGTGAAAATGAATCGAGGTGGGGGGGAGGGGTTGGGGGGTGGACACAGAAGTGCACGTGATGCGTCAAACCTCACAGTCTGTCAGCGTTTTCTGCGGAAACTGTGCGAGGCTCTTCCATCCTGCTCTGTGAGAACATTAACTTGGCATGTGGTTCTCTGTTTACATTTCTCAGTCATTATGTAATCTTTGGTTAACAATTATCTGTATCCTGGGCCCAGACATGCTCTCTATATACCCCCCCCCCCTACTCCTCTAGTCAGACGTACAGAGTTCCTCACGTCAAAAACGCCTCACAGCTCACGACTGATTCAGGAGCTTATGGAAACCATTCCCTGTTTTTCTTCTTGTTCCTTAATAGAATCGTTTTTCACAGAGGGCAAACAAAGCGGGGGTGGGGGGGTGGTGGTGGGGTGTGATCCGACACACTACATAAGATTATCACAAGTTAAGAAATATTACAAGCTGCGATAAAGGTTATCAGTTTTGCCTCCGGGAGACTGATTTAATGTTGCGTTCAGTGTCAAATAAATATTACAAAACAGCTGTCGGCTGTAACTTAGAGTGACCCGAGTCTCGGAGTGGAGGGGGAAGTGAATTAATAGGTGAATTTACGAGGAGTGGAGAGTGCTTTCTCCATCGTCTAACACCCCCCCCCCCCCCCCCCCATCTACTGATGTCTCCATGTTTCCCTCCTGCTACTGCAGGGGGCTTCTCATCCTGTGGCACAAGCCTCGCACCCAACCCCACCTTTCCCCATTACCATCTCACTGTGCACAAAGTACCTGCAAGATGATGGAGGGAATGCGAGGAGGGAAATAAAAAGAGAGGAGGCAGCACGCTGCACCATACTGATAATGCTCACTTAGAGGTGTGATATTTTTAAACTTGTGATAATCTCTGGCTGGGTTTAATGGCAGGGCCGGTAATCTACTCCAGTAGACAGCTAAAGAGCTTTTATGTTACCTACTGGAGCTGCTCATGCCTGTACTTGAGAGGAGACGAGGGCGCACGAGTGCATTCCTCTCCATAAATTAGATAGCTCATAAAGAAAAAGACACATCTGAGGATTTTTTCCTTTTCTCCCACTCCAAGGGAAAGTATTTGTTTGCTCACGTTTCTGACGTCTCACGCTGCGCTTGCGAAACGAATGCCTTTGATGATGGGTGGCGTTTGTTGATAGAAAGTTTAACTCACTGTTTAATCGTTTAAAGATGTTCATGAGACACAGACTGAAAACATGACTTTTTTTATTCGTTTTTGTCTGGAATCAAGAAATGCTTGAAGCAATAGATAGCTTAAAGGTGGGGTTTGAGGAGACGTTAAGAACAACTAGCTGTGAAAATGCAGTGTGAATGCTTACTGCGGACGAACTTGCTGAAAAACAGCTGAAATTAGCTAAAAACGTTGAAATGTAGCTGAAATGAAAGGACAAGCCGAAATTAGCAGAAGAAAGTAAAACACATGTTTACTGAACTGGGTTTAAATAAGCAGAAATTAGCACAAAAATTAGTATATCAGCTTAAAAAAGGGGCTAAAATTAGCAAAAACACATCTAAAAAATTAAAAAAAGTTCAAGAAAAAGCAAATGGACTTTATTTGTAACAGAAGATGTTTTGCTTCTCATCCGAGAAGCTTTCTCAATTCAAAGAACAGGGAGTGTGGGGTTCGAGTTATAAAGCTGAGGTAAGATATAAACATACATATGCAGATTGATATATCACACCTCCAATATAAAGATCTGGACATTCCTCGCTGCACTGAACTGCATACACCACCCCACCCTGTTGTTGTATGGGTGTTTTGTCCTTAGGGTGGACGAGCCTCTGAAGCGTAACTTAAAAAAGAAATGGAAAGAGCTGAAATGAGCTAAAACAAATGTGGAATTAGCTGAAAAAGCTAAAATTTGCATGAAAACAGCTAAATAGTAGTTGAAATAGTAGAAAAAGCTGAAACTAGCTGATAAAAGCTGGAAGTAGCATTAGAAGCTGAAATTAGCAGAAATACTTCAATTAGGATGAAAGTAGCAGAAATTACCACGATAAACTTGAATTGATCTGAAAACAGCTGCAATTTACAAAAATGCGAATAAGGTAGATGAAATGGTGCTTACATTAGCTAAAGAAAGCAGAAAGAACATGTTTGCCCATTTAGGCTGAAAGAATCAGAAGTTATCTGAAAAAAGCTGAAATTAGCCCCAAAAAAACAGCTGAAAAGTAGCTAAAAAAAGCAGAAAGAAGTTTAAATTACCAGAAGGAAGTGGAGAGAGCACATTTTTGCTGAATTATGTTGAAAAAAGTTGAAATGAGTGCAAAAAAAATGGAATTAGCTGAAAATGCTAAAATTATCACAAAACAGCTAAATAATAGCTGAAATAGCAGAAAAAGCTGAAACCTGCGGAAATACGCTGAAAGTAGCAAAACAAGCTGAAATTTGCTGAAAAAAGTTAGAAGCACAAAAATGTATAGTAGAAAAAAATCTGACAGGAGCACAAAACAGCTGAAAAAACAGCTGAAATGAGCAGAAAATAGCTTAAAAAAATTAAGATTGCACAAGGAAGCTGAAAGAAGCTGAATCAGAACAAAGGAGCAGTAAAAGATAGAAAACAGATCTAAAGATCTGAAGGATGTAAAATGAGCTCGGATTTCTATGAAAAAAAAAGTGGCAGAAAAGGCAAAATAATTCAAAAAGCTAAAGTTGCACCAATACCTTTTTCCTGAACGAGCTGAACTTTTTGATATATGATTTGTTGAAACAGCTTGAAAACCGCAGGATGAAAATCATGCTGAAAAACGTACGGAAGAAAAATGGATCGCAACGGTGTGAATGCTTCATAAACATTCACACAATCATCATCTTACCTGTTGTAGATACATTATCATCTACCCTTGCCTTTCAGTAGCAGGTAATAATAACCTGTAATATGAACATGTTGGCTGTGTATGGGTTTATGGATTTACTTTAAAATGAGGTCATCCAGAGGGCTATCTTCAACAAGTAAGACACTAACTGTTCATAACCATTCCATAGAAACCCACTTTGAAAAATCTGAACTATCACTTTAAATAGAGAAACTTAAGATACAGCAGCTTGGATGGGTGGCACTAAACAAAGCAAGACAAATATATTAGCAAAACAAAAAAGGAGCAAATGGTGCAAAACAGTTTAAAAAAAACAAATTTCATGAAACTCAACAAGACAAAAACAAAATATATTTTTATATTGTGCTGGATCCTCTTAGAAGTTACTGTTTTTTAAAGTCTTACAGTGTTTTGTGATGCGTTAAGATTTTGTGTTTGTTCAAACGTGGTGTCTTAAAAACCTTCTCAGACATATTGTCTATTTTTCATGTAAATCTGTTTTGTGAAATGTGTTCAATAAGTTTTAAGCATCTGCATTTTGTAAAACCTGCTTTCCTAATTGCTCGGATACTTTGTACTAATTAGTTGCTGCAAGTCAGGCTCCTCGCACAAAGCTAAAGTGAATCAGTAAAATATCAGTTATCATGTCATAAATTCTCTTAACAGCGAGCACAGGCGAGATAAAGAGCCGTTTTATTGATGACACGTGCATTGTGTGCTGCCATAACTCTCCCGTCAGTCTGTGCCAGCAGACGGTGAGCTGATCCTCGACGACCAGCGTCCTCCTCAGCCACCAGGTGTCTCCCTGGCCCTTTAAAGGCCCGGCGGAGAGGCACAAAGAAGGCAGCGCCGTGTTGCTTTAAGCCTTTACAAGCTCTACAAATCCTCAGCTGCTGCTTCCTAACAGGGCCCACTCAGCCCGGCACTGCCTGTCTGACCTTGTGGTTATTGATGAGCGAGTCGACCTGCTCTCTCCGACTCTCTCCTCTCCTGCTCTCCCTCCTTCTCTGCCCGTGTCATTTCTCTTACCTCCAGCAGCGAGTTAAAATGAGGGTAGAGAAAGGTTGGAGTGCTGCTTCACTCCCTTTTCTTTCAGTTAAACACACGTTTTTTTTAAAGAGTCCCCACATATTTTCATTTATTTACTTTCTAATTTGACAACTGCTTAAAAAAATTAATGGCACCAGAGAGTGGAGAAGTAATTTAATTTCCAGACTTTTTCTCCTTCTAATTAACACCGGTCCCTTTGTTGTCTCGTTGGTGCCTAACGAGAGCCAATTTAAAGATTAGAACCTGTGATTCTGGGGAGATAATGACAACAAGATGCAATTATGAGCCTCACCCTATTTACATGCTCTTTTTCAGATGTTATCGTTTCTTATTTTCTCTGTGCTGCAACCTGTGATCCCATTTGTCTGGATTCAGATTTAAAAAAAAAAAAAAAAAAACTTGTCTGCTGCTTCTGAGCGTGCAAGCGGGGGGGGGGGGGGGATCGGAGCGGTTACGTGCCTTACTTGAGCTTAATTTACTGCAAATTGCACGGCAGGCATTACACAACAAGTTGAGAGCTGTGGATTCCTGCGCAACAAAAGACACATGGTGTGTGTGTGAGGGGGTTGAGAGTAGGAGGAGAGGGGACACCCGCTTTCCTCTCCACTATTCAAGGGGGAGCTAAAATATATGTATTGAGTGGGAGCTATAATAAAACGAAACGGGTGAGGAGATGCAGGCTGGGAACAAACATGAAAGGCAGTGGAGTATGGCGGCAAGGCGATGGAGCACCACCGGAGGATTGGATGAAATTATCTCTTTATAATCAGGGGGCTTCTGCATGGCTGCCTCCTCC